TAGGAGCCCATTGAATTCCAAAGTATATATGCTGTGGGTACACGAACCGGTGCTAAACAGCAATAGAACAAAATCCCTATAAAGCCTTCAAGGGACCCTGAATTGCTATACTCTGACCTATAACCTAAACTGGCGATTGAACCCTGGAGCTGCGGTTCTCGTTTTCTGTACGCACAGATCGAACTCTGAGAAAGCTGCGAAAAAAGGCTTGTTAACCTTCTGAAGGGTAACAGACCAGCATTGAAACAGTCATCAGAAATTGTATGGTTTAAGCTAACTTGCTCACATGTTCGACAAGCTTGAATGTTTCTTCAAATTCGCTTTACAGGGAGGACGTCGCATTCACATCTTGATATGATGTTGGCATGTCAGTCCGCATGCTGGGCATTACTCAGCTGTGAGGTCTGTCAACATGAGACTACAATCATCCTCTGAAGCTGGGAAAGCTACGGCGCATGAGACGACCATGTAAACTTCACGATGTGGCCCACATGCATTATAAGGAATAGTACTGCTTAAGGCTCGCGAGAGTCATGCCGGCAGCCTCTGGCAAACCGGCGCATTGTTCAAAATCGCTGCAGCAACCCTGAGAGCCCTCGAAGCACATGGGTTGATGATAAGGAAGCAAAAAGAAACCCGCGCATGGGGTGAGGGTTTAGGATTTCAGGGTTTAGCGTTTAGGGCTTAGGGCTTCAGAGTTTAGGGACCACCCTAAACCCTAAGCTGTTTTAGGGCTTAGGGTTCAAGGCTTTAGGGTTCAGGTTGTTTTGATTACGAGAGCTCGTCTTCTTTAAGCCAACGCCTTAATAAAATGACATGCCTACAAGCCCGGGACAATGAGAAATCAGTCCCGTCACCGAGCCCGCGTCAAACAGTAGGACGCCCTAAACCCTAAACCCGCAAGGGTGCAGGCCGCAGGCGCCTTATAACCCCGGAAGCACAAACTTTTAGAAATCGAACAGCTCCCGCGGACACGCCCTGATTCTCAACCACAAATATCTCAGCATCCCGGAACCCTGAATCCTAAACGCCTGGTTTCGGATGTAAAGAGCTGAGGGCTTTCTGTGCTGTCGGCGTTCAGCACTGCCAAAGCCTGCAAAGAAAGAGACGCAATACTATGAAAACGGCGAAAGGCGCAAATCCATATGCACGGATACTTTAGCAATCTTCGCTTGAGTGAGGGATGTACACATGAACGCAACTGCTACTTGTAGCAGCTATTTCCGGGCCGGGACAAGGTGTGATTTGTGCTGTTGTTGCCTGCCTTGCTCCTGCTAGGCGACAAGGACAACAAAACATCACTTCCTTGACCGTGATCTTAGGGGTTTAGGGTAAACCCTAGCTGAAAGCTCTCAGAGACTTCAAACTTTCCATCGGGATCCACAGCGGACCTCTGAAGATCCACGATCTGGGGGCTGCTCCAGATGAACGAGGGCTTAGGGCCCGGGGCCCTGGCATTTCAGGCTTCTAGACTTCGAGCTTTGGGTTTATGGGGCTTAGGGCTTATCGGGTTTAGGGTTTATAGGGTTTCTAGGGTTTAGGAATCATAGGGTTTAGGGTTTAAGGTTTATATAGGGATTTTTTGGGTAAGGCTTATGCGGCTAGGGTTTAGGGTTTAGGGATGTGCGGGATGTCCTTGTCAATCATGTCGGAAGTAGGTTCTTTAGGGTTCCACCTGCCTCATACCCGCAGGGAGAAGAAAGTCCCCTGTTCCGAACAGCCCAGACATGAGCCACTCTGTAAACTGCAGAGCTCAAAAAAGTTCATCTCAGCGATTGAAGGTAAGGGTCTTTTGTTGAACCTTTTTCCGCCGCGGTACGACAGCCGATTGCGCCTACGTCGGCTAGGGCTTAGCGCGTAGGGTTTAAGGTTGGTGCCTCTGGAGCTAGGCCGGAACATTTTGACGGAGGGGTCAGGCCAGAATGATGAGCCCTCAATCGTCAATCGGATAAAACTCCCGACCGAAACATGCCCAAGAGATCAATGTCTCTTGGATTGGTGGAATAAGGGTAGTAATAGCTAAAATAGGGTTTGAGGATGGTAGAGTATGATTGTAACCCCTCAACCCTGAATCCTAAACCCTGACGTGATGCATTTAACGACCAGAAAACCGCGTTGCGCAGACGATCTCCATTTTCAGCTATTCAGCCTGTACTCTTATGTCAAGTATAGGAACCTTGGGAATAAGATCCCGATCGCTTGCCTGAAGTTCTCGAACACAATGTCCAGATCCTAATGGCTACCCGAAAATCTAGTGATGACAAGGGAGAAGCCATGAAGCTAGCCGATACTGTCAGCGACGGCACGGGAAGTGCTCATCACAACCTGATGCTTGGCAAAACTGATCGAACTTCACTGGTTGTGCGGTTAACTCGTGATGACAGCAAAAATCGTCTCGGGCAGGTACCGCAAAGTGGCAAGCTACTACACTCTACACATTAACCCCTAAAACACCAAAGCTCCAAAACGCCAAGCCCGAAAATTCTCAACCCAGCTCTACACTCATTTCAAGAAGCACGCAATGTGTTCGTTGGAGACCCCGATAAAAGAAACCCCAGCCCGAACACCAACACCAATCAAGTAACCAAGAGCCTCAGGAGCTGTGAAACCTGAACACTGCCCCAGGATGTGACGAGTTCGGCTCAGCTTGCATAGTGTATGCGCTTTCGGCTGCGGTATCGCGGCGTTTTGCAAATCACGGCTTAGGCCGACAAGCTGCAAGGCCTTGCAGCCTGACACAAGCGCCCAAACACCACGGAGACAACTACGGATGGCAGACCTACGGTTGTTATAAGGTAAAAGCCAGAAAGTTGGAATATGATTATCCTAAACCCTTTATGGTAAATTATAGGGTATCCTACCCTGAAACCATATTCCAACTTTCTGGAGTTTCTTGAACCCTAAACCCTGGACCCCAAACCGAGGTCTCTTTTCTTGCGGGCGTTTGGGGCCCACTGAAGATCATGTCACGCTCGCCAGTCACCGGTGGCGGCTGAGGAGTCCTTCGTGCTTTTAGGGGTTTGGATTCAGGGTGTTAGAGTTTTGTTAAACTATGATGACGAGCGCTTCGGAGGTTTAAAGTTCAAACACTTTTAAGCGTTAGGGCTTAGGATGCAAGCTTTCAGATTGAGGGGCTGCATTTACCAACCCTCTATTCAGGCTTTAGGTGGAGAGTTCGGTGTCGGAAGCTTAGGACTGGAAGGATTCCTCGGTGTAAATGCCCAAGCCGATTTTTACCTTGTCATGGGCTTTGCCCATGTCAATTTCCGCACTTGCCGACACTCCTTCATGGAGTAATCTTCTTTCTTATGAGGTGAAGAACAGTCTTGATTAAGGGTGTGCGGGCTCTTAGGCTACAACATAGGCACGTGCAGAGTCCGGCATCCGTCTTGCAAACAGCCGGAGCTCAATGGCGGAAAGCCGACACCCAGTCATACCCCAACTCTAACCCCCAAACCCCTGGAAACCCGTGCGATACTACAACTGAGCCCATACAGACAAGTAGTGGTTCCTTGGATATCCTGAAACTCATCAAAAAAAGAATGACCTGCCCCCAAGCCAGCTCTGGAGGAGATCGCAAATCTCTGCTGAGAATTAAGCTGTGAGTGTGTAGCGTTTAAGGCTTCCGGTTGGAAGGGGCCCTAAATGCTTCCATCGTAAAGCAACAACTTTACAACCCTGGGTCACCGAAATGATGGGCTCTGCTTTGTAAGTACTTACCTTAACCTACCAAAACCTACTTTTTTGTAGGGCCCCTACAAATTCTATATTAGGGTTTATCATAAGAACCTACAAAAAAGTAGGGTTTGGTAGTTTAAGGTAGGGTTTGGGAAGAGGAGGCCCCTGAAGCCGTACACTGTACACACGAAGGTATGCATAGGAAGCTTCGCTGTGAGGGTCTGGACTGGGGAATTGACTTCTGGGCTCTACACACAGAATCCCGCGCACGAACCCGAAGCGACCAACTATGACTTCAACCGTCAGGTTAACCCACTCCCCCCGCAACCCTAAACCAGAACCCTTGTAGCCCTAGTTCCCCCCCCATTCCCCGAGCCCTACGCCGTAAGTAGACATTAAAGCCGAACTGAATGTCTTGAGGACTGATGGCGAAGCCCCAAAATCCCTGAGCCAAAAATCCCTGACTCAAAAACCCGAAACCCTGACCTCTACAAACTCTTCTAGAACCGTTGTATAATCGTGGTTGAGAAGATGATAAACTGCACCCCATCCATGACACCATTGTACAACCCTTATAACTTATAACGCCCTGTTAGAAACCCCAAAGGTACCACTAACCCTAAACTCTAAACCCTACACCCTAAACGCTCCTAAACCCTGCTAGAAACCCCTACGGTGCTCTAAACCCTACAAGCCCTTTTAGAGCCCTTTTAGAAACCTCTCTACAGTGCCCTTCATCCTGGGATGACTCTAAAAGCCGCCTCGGAAGCTTCGGCTACAAATTTCGCCTCCACTCAGATTCTCGGGGTTCCCCGAAGAAGCCTGCTTGGAGGGATTAGGGTTTCGGGTTTGGGTTTGACGGAATTGCGTCTCGTTGAGGGGCTTTGGGAAGCCATCCACATCACCTTATCATCATCATCACCATCATCATCAACGACAACGTCAACGTTAACAGCACCATCATCGTCATAGTCATTGTCGGCATAGGTGTCGGTGCTCAGGCAAGCAACCATCTACCGTGTTTGCATGCACTCATAAGCTGATCCATACACTTTAATGTACGTATACACAAACTCATGAAGCACATACATATCACAACAACCGTCTAATTCAATCAGAGTGTTGACGCGAACAACTGTTCATGAACTTGGCAACCACAAACATAGCAACACACCTTCGGCGTCGCTATATATCACCAAGACCTGCATGACCGTCGTTCTCGCATCACCATGACCACAACAGTGTCATCAGACCATCATCCTCGTCCTGATAAAAATACCCAGGCAGACCCTCCCTCCTCCCATCGACGCCTGAAGCGGGCACTAAAGCTGAATCGGTCGCTTGCCTAGGCCAGGCAATGACTCGTGTCAGTTCCCAGTTTAGGGTATACTTTAACCTACCGCAGCCTAGGGTTTTTGTGTTTTACCTGCCGGGCCCTAGTGTAGAGCCCCTACAAGAAAATCAAGCCCTAGACCTAAACCCTAAACCCTTAAACCCTAAACCTTAAACCCTAAACCCCTAAACCTTAAACCCTAAACCCCTAAACCTTAAACCCTAAACCCCTAAACCTTAAACCCTAAACCTTAAACCCTAAACCCCTAAACCCCTAAACCTTAAACAAGTATAAGGTACCTAGAACTTCAAAACTAAAAGGCTTCCCTAACCCTTGATATTGGAGGAGCTAAGGAGCCAGGGATGATGATAATCCCTATTAAATAAGGAGCTAAAGAGCCAAGGGAAGCCCAAGTTTAGGGTTTAGGGTTTAGGGTTTAGGGTTTAGGGTTTAGAGCCAAGGGAAGCCCCAAAACCACTGGTTAGTTCCTCAATTACGGTTGTTGTTGGCCCGACAGCGAAGTTAGCTTCCAGTGGCTTATTTGGTATGCACCGGTCGCTTGAGGATTCATTTTGTGGGTACAGCCTCAAAGCTACGCCAAAATCTGAACCAAAGCTTAAGCAAGCCAACATCGAGGATTTAGGTTCCAGAGTCCTCGGCTTCATGACTCAGGGTTTCATTAAGTGCCTTGGACCTGCATTCCACACACTAAGCCGGAAAACACAAATCCTCGGCAGCATCTCCTCTAGCTCTCTGGTAGTGATGCTAGCAACACACAACCTGTGCACGCAGTTCTCGCTCCTTTGACTAACACTTACATATAGTTGCGCATAGCTGTAGTTTGTCATGACTCCCTTTGAACGCCACACCTCCACATGCGGACGTGTGGAGTCCCCTACTCAGGGCCTAGGCCTTGGGGCTTGGGGCTTGGCTTCGGGTTTCTTATTCGCAGTTTCGTTCAGGCACTAGGGTCGAGCCCCATATCTCGACCTTGGGATGGTCCAGTCAGCTCTCCAGCGTCAAAACTGGCTTTGGGTTTGGGGTATACTATACTGAACTTAGAACCCCAGCAAAAATTGTAATTTTAGCTGTTTCTTAAGGGTTATAATAACCAAAAATTAAAAATATTTCTAAGTACCCCCAAGTATAGGGATTAGGGCCTGATCCCCAGCTCAGGACTTTAGGGCCCAGTGTTTCGGGGGCTAGGTTGCTATGGTCTGGGATAGGGCACTCGCGTCTTGTGGGCTCGCGGGGTTTACGGTTGCAGATCCTCGGCTGTCACAGCCTTGCCCCCACAAGGGTCGAAGTATTCCAGAGGGCTCTTATGAGAGTTCCTATAATGGTTAATGTAAGGTTCCTAGGAGGGCTCCTTTCAAGTATAGCAACCTCCTACAAGGATTGCTACGAGGGCTCCTATAAACTATACAGGTTCACAGAAGGGTTAGTGTGAGGGCTGCGACGACGACAACTACTACATACAGCTACTACTGCGTCCTACTGCTGCTACAACTCCGACTCCTCCTCCTACTCCTCCTGCTGCTATCTCTTGGGACTATTATTGGGGATTATATTGGAGTTTCTGAAAATGAGGGAGCCTACCCTAAATAGTAGGATCCTTATTATAAGGACCCCAAGATAAGGTACCAGCCCAGTCGCTGATGACATCTTGCAAAGTTGGGAGGGCAAGACTTGGGCTCGTAGGCTGGCTTCCTCAGTGCGAGGGTTTTGGCACGCTCGTCTTCATCGTGCGAGTAAAATCCTAAACCCCTTTCTAAACCCTACTAACCCCTCCCTGAACCCTAAACCCCTAAACCCCTAAACCGGTTTCTAAACCCTTCTAACCCCTCCCTAAACCCAAAACCCCAAAACCCTTAGAACCTTTCCTTAACCCTACTGAGCCCTCCCTAAACCCTAAACCCTAAACCCCTAAACCCCTAAACCCCTAACACCCTTCCTTAACCCTACTAACCCCTCTCTAAACCCTAAACCGCCAGCCCGATACTACTGGTTTACTCTCCGAGAGCTCAGCCCTGGTGGCCCGCATCTTCCACTTAGGAGGTTCCACAAAGCTTTATATAATGGGGCTTTAGGAGTATGAGGCTATTGTTATGGGGCTTTAGGATTATGCGGCTATTGTTATGAGGCTTCAGGATTATGAGGCTATGATTACAGGGCTTTAGGATTATGAAGCTAGTTCTATAGGGCTTTAGGATTATGAGGCTATCTTTATAGCGCTTTAGGATTATGAAGCTATTATTATGGGGCTTTAGGTTTATGAGGCTATTATTATCATGCTTTAGGAGTATGACGCTAGTATTATAGGGCTTTAGGAGTATGAGGCTATTTTTACAGGGCTTTAGGACTATAAGGGCTTAGTTTAGGGGCCTTAGAATGTAAAATGTAGATTAGGGGATTACAGGGTCTTGGGGTTGATAATGATATATTTACTCAAACAGTGGCAAAGAATAAACGCTGAAAAGCTGTACGAGCCGTTTGTGGAAAGATGAAGACGAAGGGAGTATACTGACAAAAGTGTGAGAGAGGCTAGGGAATGTAAACGAGGACAAGAATGAACCCCGAACCTTCAACTTGAGCCAGCACAACACCGCAATTTCACTGTACACCCCAAGTAGCAAACCTTGCACCCTGAACCCTTAACCTTAAACCTGTCTAGAACCCCTTATTAGAACCCTCCGAGTTTACAGTAGCTTTACGCCGAAGCTCGAGAGTGCACGGAGGCCAGTCGGCGTGAGCTGCGCCGGTCGGAGACGATTGAGCTGTTGGAGTTTTGGACCTCGGGCCAGGGTCTTGTGTTTAGCAGTTAAGAGGTATAATCGTTTACAGTTCGGCGTTTGGCGTATACTGTAGCCCGCATAAGCCCAAAATGAAATTTGATTCACCGCTGCTGTTTTGTGACACTAGCCTACTAGCCAGCAAAAGAAACACGGCTCAATGATAAACCCAAAAAATCCTTGCTTGAAGCCCGATACAGCCATACCGAGCCCTGCAGCCCTAGCATAGAAACCAAGTCTGGGGCATTGCTTAAGGGTTTATGTAGGGTTTAACGTTCAGAGTTTACAGACGCTTGACGCCATCGCTGCAGTGTGTCTTCCGTGATAGGGATCTAGGATTCTTGGTGAACGGGGCTTTAGGGTTTAGAGGTTTGGGGTTTAGGGTTTGCGTGCAGAGTGTTAAGTGTCATGCTGGCTGCAGATGGCGCTGGTGAATCACGGGTTAACCGGGTTTCGGACGATCATGCTCTTCGTAGGTTCAGGGTGTGGTTGTGGGTTGGGGCTTAGCATAACTAAAGCGCTAGGCCCTATTCCAATCCCTAAATCTCGAATCCTGAACACTTGGCCATCTTACACCCGGAACCCCCCAGGACTACGCCTTGAGCCTTGCACCCTCAACCATGAACTTACCCACAGGCCCTATAGTAGCTCCTTTTTGGGATTACCTTATAGGATTCTATATATATATATATATATATATATATATATATATATATATATGGGGCCTCGGGGTAAACCCCAGTACCCTTTACAGTAGCCCTTAAACCCCAAAACCCTGAGCCGGGTTTCCGGGCCACAAGCTCTCGAGTCTCCACCACACCTCAACCCTAAACCTCGAACTCGGTTTAGGGTTTAGGGTATGATCTCCGCTGTAGTTCCCTTTTGACTACCCATCGAAACCTAAACTGCCCCAGACTAGGCCGGTCCTGCTCGAAACCTCATCCTTTACACAGTCAAGGCAGGCTGCCTGCATGGAGGGCTGGAAGGCCACGAGAACGTTGAGGCCCAGCTGCGCCTTCCCAAACTTCTGATAGTTTAGGGCTTAAGCTCTCTTTGTCGCCTATTTTCGCCCTGCCAGAAGTCTCTTAGGTTGAAGGCCATGCTGTGGCATTGCTTAGAACCGAGTCACACAAGCCGAACGCATGCACTTTCAGTAGGGTTCAGAGTTTTTCGCGTCATTTTCAATACGTTGCAGACTTAAACAATCAAGTTTTAGGGTCTAGGTAAGTTGAACCATGAAAACAGTAGGTAATTGCAAGGGGACCATAAAGCAGTCGAGCAGTGCCTGGATCAAGTGCATGGTCCCGGTTATCGGATCCGGTGTCGTTCCGCCCAAGACTGCTGGCATCTCATCCTGACACAATATGGGAGTTTCCGAAAATTAGGGGTACCTGATTTTGGGGTCCTTATAATAAGGGTCCTACGAATTTAGGGGACCCTATATATATATATATATATATATATATATTGGGTCCCCTATTTTCGGAAACTATCATATGTGCATCACATTTGCGTAAGCCCTCAACTTTGCAACGAAACCCCGCAGCCCAAACCCTGAACCCCTACACCCTAGGTAAGGTTCAGCAGCTCCAGCTCAATGGCGAAAATTCTGGGTCCTTTGTGGGCAATAGCGGTTTCTTCGTGAGCAATGGCGAAAAATCATATTATATCTTAGTGTGTTAGGAGGTGCATATCGTAGTATAGGCTACTAACATGTACCATTACAGTATATCATCGTATGTCTTGGTATATCTCAGCATGTTGTATGCTGAGCCCCGATTTGGTATTCTTCAACCCTCGAAGCTCTGAAATCGAAACGCTTTCAACCCAACGCCCTCCGCAGCTTCGGGGCTCTGCCAAGAGAACTCGGGGTTAGGATTCGGTGCTTAGGGATTATCGGCTTATAGGGTTTAGGGATTAAGGATTAGGGTTTAGGGATTTGGGGTTTAGCAGGGATTAGGGTTTGGTGGCTTGCAGAGAAAAGCCTTGAACCGCAAACCTCAAACCTTAACAATTTAGGGTGAAGGGATTCGGGATTAGGGCTTACATCCTAAAGCCGTAATGCCCCACAACCCAACATCCCAGCCTGAACCCCAAACCCTAAAACCCGAGACCCTGATGCCCTAATACGCCTATAGCACCCTGGTAGAACCCCTTCAGGGAACTCTGAACCTCCAAACCCCCAAACCCCAAACTCCACACCCCACACCTCTAAGCTTACCTTTGGTTAGTAGGGAATGAAAGAATGGTAGTAATAGTAGTTATAATTGTACCCCATTCCTCCATTCCCTACTAACCAAGGGCAGGTAACTCTAATAGCTTTCTCATGGTACCCGTCAGAGTCCGTTTCACTTAAACGAACCCTTAAACCCTAAAATCTCCAAACCCTTACCCCCAGACCCCAAACGCTGATACCCTTATAGAACCCCTAAAGGAAACCGTCACTTTAACGCCCTACCTGGTCCCTAAAAAACCTACCGTTTTAGGGTTCCCTAATACGATTTCTTTATATAAGTCCTCAAAAAGGTAGGTTACGTGGGGTTAAGGTAACAGCTAACACCCTAAACCCTGATCTCTGCTTAGGATCGAAGGAGTAGATCTTCGACGGAGGCTGCTCCCCTGGGCAGGACGCGATCGGGGAGCTTCAGAAATCAGTCAAAGGTAGGTTTAGGGTTTAGGGTTTAAGGTTTAGGCGGGTTTAGGGTTTAGGGTGTAGGTTTAGGTTTTGGGTTTAAGGTTCAGGGTTAGGGTTTAGGGTTTCGAGCGGACTTATTGTACACCCTGAAGAGCAGGAATCATTATTACAAGGACCCCTAAACCGCAAACCCCAGTTTGCAGAAGCCCTCATGTACCCTTCTGTGCCAGTTGAGGGGACTGATGTCCATCGAACGACGTACAAAGAGCTCACATGCGATTGTCAGTATTCGATTTGGGGGTTCGGGGCTGGGGAGGCTTCTTAGGGTGCTTGCCAGCGGCCCCGCTCCAGTAGCAGCCGCCCCTCGCTATGGATTCGCTCCTGCATGCTGGACACACGAACAGGACAAGAACAACCCTAAGCGCGATGGTACACCCTACAGCCTATTTAAAACCGAGGTGAAGCCCTCGAAAACCGTGGCAATTGGCTACAAGCCCTTAGAAGCCCGTAAGATCAGTGAGAAAAATCCCCTAAACCCTAAACCCTACCTGGACCTACTAAACCCTACATTTTTGTAGGTTCTTATTATAAACCCTAATATGGGATTTATAGGGACCCTACAAAAAAGTAGGTTCTGGTAGGTTAAGGTAACCCTAAACCCTAAACCCCCTAACCCTTGAACCTGTCGATCAAGACAACGGCTGGGGCTCCAGAAGTTGCAAGGTGTGGGCCGCGGGAAAGACGTGGCTGGTCGCCGAGCCGACAAGGTCCTTCGGTTGATGATATAAATCCTGCATGACCCATAATAAGGAATATACCACAATTCCCATAGTTTCGGGTCCTTAAGGTAATGCAGGATTTATACCACCAACCGTTCCGACGGTGTTCAGGATTTGGCTTTAGGGTTTCTGTAAGGGCTCCTATAAGGGTTCTATAAGGGTACCATGAGGGTCCAGGGTTTAAGGTTTAGGGTTTGTAAGGTTTACGACTTGGGAGTTTCCCAACATAGGGGTACCGTATTTGGGGTCCTTGTAATAAGGATCCTACTATTTAGGCTACTATGTTGGGGTCTCCTATTTTCGGAAACCTCCATTTACATCAACCCTGGATAACCTACCTTTTTAGGGCTCCTTGTTATGATTTCCTTACATGTGTCCTAAAAAGGGTAGGTCATCCCGGGTTAAGGAAGGGTTTAGGGCCTATAGGGTTTCTAGGCTACTAGGGCCTATAGGATTGTGAGGGTTTAGGGTGGAGGGCCTGTGGGATTTCTTGGGTTCAGGGTTTAGGGTTTAGGGCCTTAGTAGATTGATAAGGATTAGGGCTTTGGGCCTATAGGATTTCTGAGGTTTAGGGTTTAGGGTCCCATTAGGGATTTTATGCCTTATAGGGTTTTTTGGGTTTATAAGGTTCAGGTCTTGTTCCTTTAGCTGCAAAGCGTACTACACGGTTTCATCTAAGGGCTTCTACGGGTGTAGGGTTTGGGCAGTTATGTCTTATAGGGTCTAGGGCTCAGGGGGAGCTACAGGGTATTTATGAGTTTTCTACAGGGTTTGCGGAGTCTTCTGCAATTGGTAAGGGGTAGTAGTTTCCCGTATTCTAGAGGGATTGGCCGAAAAAAGGAACCCAAATTAGAGAACTACCCACATATCAGCCTGCCAAGACTTGACCTCTCCATGCAAGTCCTCCTTGGATACCACGGTTTAGGGTTTAGGGTACGTGAAGTCAGAGTTCTGTGACGGCATAGCCAACACTCATGCCCACCTTCAACCGAAGCAGAACACACATGCTTCGGAGGTCCATATCTTCACAAACCTTCTGTAAGCAGCAAGCTTCATCCCCAACAAACCGACGAGCCCTAGCCCAGTAAGCAGGAAGAAACCCTGGTCCATAAGGGGCGCAGATGCCGCGTGGATGCATAACCGCTCCACATCTACATCCTCGGAAAGCACTGGGATCAAGTTGAAGGTATTGGGTCCAGGGCCGTTTTGGGTTTACGCCGTTGAGTCAGGGTTCGAGCCCCTACACCCCTAAGCCCTAAAGCCCATACCGACCATACGTAGTTTGGTGCTTTGGCACCCCTGCATGGTAGGATCGTGTCTCACCGACAGGCTAGGGGAAACAAGCGGTTCTTAGGGACTGGGGGGGGTGCCAATGCACGAGGTAAGAAGCACGCACCCCGAGCTCAAGAAGGGGTTTAGAGTCACACTCGAGGCCGTTTCTGACAAGGGTTCTGGGTTCTACCAGGGCTTGATCAGGGCTCCAAAGAGGTTTCGAGAAGGCTGCCACGGTATCGTGAACTCCACCATGAATCCATCCTTCATCTCTGAGCCCCATGCTGTGAGGTTTTGAACCCCGAAACGAGCCAAGTGTCCAGAAATAGCATTCCACGACCATACCTTGGCTTCTCTTGCAAGTCCAACAAGGTGTGAGATCGATGCTTAATATAGCGACCGGAACAACTTGCCATAGTCGTCCCTCCATAGCTTTTTGCAATTCTAGTCCGATTCACACCAGCAGCTAAAGAACGTGTGAAGGCCAAAATCTTACTCCTTCAGTTCCAAATTACATGCTACTTGAGTCACACAAAACTGAGTAAGAAACCCTGCGTAGACACTAGACCCTAACCCTGACCTACACCCTAAACCCTGGAATGAACCCTCGACCCTACACCCTATTCGGTCTTACAACCTCGTCCTTCCTACATAAAGGTCGTTCCAAACGGGGCCGACGAGCGATTCATGAGGCTTGAAAGGTATCCATAAGGTTTAACCGAGGGTTGCAGACATGGGGGGGGCCTTTATGTTAGACTTCTATACTTTAAGTATACTTTTGTCAGAAAGATAAATAGACAGACAGACAGGTTGATAGATAGATGGGGACTAGAAAGGGGTATCAGTACTAAATGGTCCAACCCGGTTCTGAGCGTTTTGCAGCTGCACCGGTCTTCGCAGGGTTTGGGGGGGTGTAGGGTTCAGGGGCTTCGGATGGCTTAGGATGGTTTAAGGGTTTGAGGGCTTGAGGATTTGAGGGTCTAGGGTTGGGGTGGGGGTGTGGGTTTCCCTGTTTCGGGTCTAAGAGAGTCGGGTTCAGGATGAGGAAGCTTGGTAAGCAAGGCATCAGAATCCGGGCCGTCGATTCTTCCAAACCCGAGCGAACCCCGAACGTCGCAATCGACAAGGGACAAACTCTGCGGCAGCCACTGCTCACTGTGTCGGGAGCTCGGGCTAATGGGGAAGGAGTCGACGCTCGCCAGCTCCTCCGCCTTCCAGCAGACTTTTGTATCTTGTTTACCACGGTTTCGGGTTTAGGATTTAGGGTTGACCCCAAACATTGAACCCTGCACCCTAGACCTCTGTACGGAGTGGATGGGTGTCCTACAAGAAAGAGGTCAAGCTAGGGCGCAGGGTTCACGGCGGTACCACAACCCTGCACCCTGGTTGTTCGAGAGATGTTCGGGTCTTTAGGGGGCTAAAGGCTTCGGGTTTCAAACGTGTCCCGAAGGTGCAGAAGAGATCGTAATCCGGAGCAGATCGCACTTTCCTGCTCGTTATGGGGTTAGAGGGTCTCGAAAAAAACTTTGGGATCCAGACTTTGAGGTCTTGAACATCCCTCATCCGCAAAGTGGGTGGAAGATTAGCATTAAGCGCCGGGTCCCAGTGGATGCAGACCTCTAGTGACTCTAGTAAAAAGGAACCCAAAACTCAGGTAAAAAGGAACCCAAAACTCGGGTTGAGGGTTTAGGGTGAGGGCTTACGGCTATGTAGACCAGCATCTACCAAACGCACATTCCTACACTTGACTCCTTGCTCCCTTCCTATGCAGACGCAGACGGGATCTAGCAAGGTTTAGGAGTTTTCGATTTCGGGTTTCGAGTCTTCAGGCCTGTCAGCCTATGCTTGAACCTGGCATCGCGGATCATGAAACCCCAAACTCTCGGTGGGCCTCTTCTCCATACCCTAAACCCTAAACCCTGAACCCTAACCCTCGCTTGGCCTCTTCTCCATCGCCAGTCGGACCCCTCGATAGGGCAAAGGGCTTGCTGTCCGTGAAGTCGCGCAGGCCCACGAGGTGGCAAGTTTGTCCATCCATCTTGGTGTACATGACCTCGATAAACCCAAAGGAGACCACACAAACCACACATCCAAGCCTGTAGCGACACAGGAGTAGTTGTCAAAATGATGGCCCTTTTTTGGGTACCCTAAAGAATAGGTGCCATATGATAAAGAGGACCCGAAACGGGACCAGAATTCTGACAACCACCCACATAATACGATCGATAAACAGCGAGAATGAAAGTCCATAACAATGGTCATCAAAGAATACTTACCCAACCTAAAACCTCACTGAATGGTTTCCTACAGCTGTTGGCACCCATCTTCGAGACCGGAGATCTTTACACCTTGACGCCTTGAAGGGCATTTGGGGTTTTGCTGTTGGGAATTAGGATTAAGGGGACCCTTGGGGATATAGACCCTCTCAATAATGCCCCTTTTAAGAAAGCCAGTTGTAGGGTTCAGAAGGGGTAGCCTTTAAAGGGTCTCCCTAGTAATACTACCTAGCTATCGGGCTTGGGGTTTCTAGGACTCCAGCTGCAGGGCTTTGAGGGTTTAGGGGTTTTAGGGTTTGGGGCTGAAGCCCCGGAGCCGCACACGGTTTAGGGTTTAGGGTTTAGGGTTTAGGGAACAACCCCCACCTGCAAAACCTCCGTTCGAAGTTTCGTAGACCAGCTGTCCACCAGGCGAGTGTGGAATGCGTGCGCTCGCACGGCCTGACGGGACTTACTTGCTTTTGCTAGCGGGCTTTGGAGTTTGAGGACAGGGTGGAGAGCTGAGCGAAATCCGGGTTTTGCAGTGGCTCAAGCTCAAGAGGCACCAGGATTAAACGCATTGTGCGCTCGGGAGGTGGAAGATACAAAGCCTGTACAGCAAGGATGCTAGCTGCTAGCACTTGCTGCATCACCGAAGCTCCACTCGACTATCCCTAATCCCAGTGCGTATCGTAAAACCCTCCTCAACCCATTAACCACGCCGACCTTAAAAGCACCCAAAAACCTTATGGCCACCCGGAAAATCCTATCTATACAACCTGAAACACCCTTATAACAAACTCTCTAATCCCTCTACAAACGAAAACCTCAGCACAGCAAGAACCCTATAGAGACCTTATCGGCAACCCTTGAACCACCCTTAAACAAAAAAACTCTAAACCCTAACGCCCCAAAGCCCTGAAACCCTGTAACCCGAAAACCCTAAACCCTCTACCCTATAGTGAACCCCCGAAGGTTAGAACATGGGTTTAGGATGATTAATGCTGGGATCCCCTATATATATATATATATGTTTTACCTTTAAGGCCATGAGGATATTGATCTTCCAACTTTCTGGCTTCCACTGTAAACTCTAAACCCTAAACTCTAAACCCTAAACTCTAAACCCTAAACTCTAAACCATAAAACCCTAAAACCCTAAACCCTCCACCCTAAACTCCTTAAGACCCCGAGCCTGAGCCGGCTGGCCGTGGCTGCTGCTCCCCGAGCTACGGAACATCGAGAGCTTCGCCTAGACTGAACTTAGAACCCTGGCAAAAACTATATTTTTTTAGCTGTTTCTTAGGGACTATAATAACCACAAAAATTTTAATTTTAGCTGCTTCTTAGGGATTATAATAACCAAAAACTTTTACTATTTCTAAGTACCCCTAAGTCGCAATGGCCGGCGGGGCGTCCAAAGGGGGCATCAGGTCGGTGAAGAGCACACCTTTCAAGGTACCCCCGCGGCCTCCTGAAAGGTTTAGGAGCTTGGGTTTAGGGGTTTAGGGGCATTAAGGGCTTAGGGTTTAGGGGTTAAGCTTATTTTCGGGTTTAGGGAGTTTAGCAGAGGGTTCACAGGGTAGAATATGGGGCAGAAGTGAAACGAGATGGCCACTGACATAGAGATAGAGATAGAGGAGGGGATGAAAAGACAACGAGACGGAGATGGAGATGTACAGATCCACTACAGAACCCGGACAACCGCGCGAACGCATGTGGATTCCTGGGCCCTGGCCATAGGCTTCAAACATCTTCAAACCGTGCTGGCTACCGGGCTGCGTGACTTTTCAGAGGGTCTGTATTCGAGCAACAGTTGGCCGTCGCAAGATTGCTACGCAGCCCCCCAAGAGGCCATATCCCTAAACTTACAGCTCGAAAGCCATGAACCGGAGACACTCCAACCCTTCAGCAAAGTCTTTCTAAGGCCAACAAGGCTAAACATAGACAGTCTGAGTCTGAGTGTTCAGTGTTCTACCTAGCCCCCCAACCCAAAACCGATGTCCTGAAGCCCTATCCGTATCCCCCTACTAATAGCTTTCCCCACATTCCCAAGAGAAGTCTGCCCTAAGTTTGGGGTTTAGGGTTGAGGGGTTTGGGGTTTAGAGTTTAGGGCTTTGGGGTTTAGGGTTTAGGGCTTTTGATTTTAGGGCTTATGGGAAAAAGGGTGTAGGGGTTTAGTAGTTTAAGACCCCGGTCCTGCCACAGAGTCTCTTAGCAGCATTGCAGCAAGTTCGTTGGAATGCTCGATCAAGCGAAGCTCCTCAAAAAGAGCGGCTCCCCGGCCCCTATATAACAGGGCAACATCCAGTCTCTCGTTAGTTGGGTCTTTTCGGTTTCTGGCTGTTGCGGTTATATAACATGGGGGGGCGCTGAATAGTCAGATGAGATCATGTCCAAAGGAATGATATTTTCAGGCTTGGGCCTACGGTTTAGGGCTTTGGGCTGAGGTTTTAAGTTCATACAGAAACAATGCATGCGGTGCAGGGGATGAGCTTGGGGGGTCTAGGGTGATGCATCTCATTGTTGCCCTGCAATATAGGGGCCTTAATGGGGATAGATTATACGTTAACTATAAAATGGAACCCCCCAGCTAGTATTGTTAACCATTAAAGCCCCTGGGCCCAGGGTGATCTATCTCATTGTTGCCCAGGATGCATTGACTTGGCCCACCCACGGATGTTCTGCCCCTGCCCGCAAAATGGAATAAAAGGCAGGCACAAGAATCAACTGCGACCACCTCGAGGTGTGGGGTTAAGATTCGGTTTGTAACATCCTTGCTAAACTCCAGAGCCTCAAGCCAAAACCAGACCCCGAAACCCAAAACCCCAAAGCCTGGACCTACAAAAACTTGACAACCCTAACCCTAAACTCCTATTCCCTACGCATTAGTCGAAGTCCTCGTCCAACTCAACCACTGCGTCACAGGTTAGTTGCAGCAGGGCAGAGGCAGCATTCAGCTGCGTTAGAGCATTCCCTTTCTCCATGGCGAGTTCCACTCTCCTGGGCTTTTGGTGAGCAGCTTGCTCAGAGCTCATGCTACGATAGCAAGGATATCTAGGTATGGTATGTATGTCCGTACGTACGCAGGTAGGTAATTATGCAGGTCTGTATGTATACCTGTGTAGGTACCTCTTGCGATCCTATGCTCATCTTGTTATGGTAACTTAGGTTAGCCCCTTTAAGTAACAGCCACCCAGTCTCTGAGCCAGATACGCATCGAAGACGTATGCAGCAGCAGTTAAGAGCATGAGGTGGAGGAACTCCATACCCAGCACCGCCGACAAACCGCCATACGTCTCCGTGCTCTCTTCCGTAAGAGCCCGATATGTGATTGTCCCGAGGAAGGGAAGGTTGCTGAGCAAGACAAGATGTGCTCTCCTTGCCATCACAATAGCTGGAAATCGGAAGAGGCTGAACACTATATATGCCACTCGAGTACCTCAGTTCCGAAGCACCTGCACAAAAGCTACAGACTTGACATAGCGAGCTATGACCAGAATCCGGAACCCTACACAAAAGAAAACATACCGTATGTACTCCTGCACCTTAAATCCCAACTTATATACGGTAATTTACAAACACAAACCATACAACCAAAACCATACAATGACTCAAAACCCTATGTCCCTTCGGAACAACGTTTAACCTTCATCCATAACGCAATGAAAATCTAACTTTGTTCTTAAACCAGACCAAGGTGCTCCCATCCAGGCTATCGACATAAGGCAACACATAGGCCACCAGCAGCAGTGAGTAGAAAGTGAACCAAAGGTCGTTTCCTTCGCTCTCAAGAGACAACTTACTGTAGGGGCCTTCCTTATTGCAACTATAGTATAATGGGCCCCAAAGCCCTACTCTAATTATGACGGCCCTTTTACTTATACTATAGATTCGTTCTGTAGATCCCTCATAAACGTCTTGTAAGGAACCCTTTACAGGAACCCTCTTCTAGTGATTAAAGCCCCTATACTATGAAAGCGACTTGTGTCGACGGCTCAGTTTATTGTCGGGATTAGGATTTAGGGCTTTAAGGTTTTAAGGTATAGGGGTTCAGGGTTTAGGGTTTGAGGTTTTAGGGTTGAGAGTTTGGCAAAATTAGCAACTTTACATACGGGATGCTCAGCACGACAGAGGAAAAAACACATTAACAAACTGCTGCAAGTAGGGCAGAACCAAGTTGCGTGCGATCTGAGGCACCACAAAAGCCTGAGCTTGCTTCAAGGCCTTTTGAGGTTGCAGGGCGTAGCAATACTTGAGCATCTTATTGGGGTTCAAGGGCAACAAAAGACCCTAGAACTGAAAACCCTAAACCAGAACCTAAACTCTGGCCCCTGAACCCTCAAACCCCAAACCCTTAACTAATTAACTAAACCCTAAAACTTAGGCACGGCCCCCACTCAGTAATAGTTGAAGAATATTCATAATATAGATATAGTAGGATCTTAATGGTAGCCCTATTATTGACTCTTACTGTATGGGGGCCGTACCTAACCTAAAACCCTTCAACCCTGAGCCCACCCGAAAACCGCTCTCGGCGCCTTCGGACCCTGAGCTTAGGAGTTCAAAGGGGAAAAGGAGGGACCCTTAATCGGGACCCCTACCCCTAGGGAAGAGGGTTCCTTTAAAGGGGTCTATAAGGACTACTATAAGGGGCTATATTGAGGGTTTAGGGTTTAGGGTTTAGGATATAATGGGCTATATAATGGGTATATAATAGCAATATTAAGCGTATATACCTAGGGGTCCTTATTAAGGGTCCCTCCTTTTCCCCTTTGAGGAGTGTTCTTTTCTTGTTTTGGTGCCTCCTAGAAAGGGGCTTAGGGTTTAGGGTTTCAGCGTTGCGAGGTTTAGGGTTTAGGCGTCAGGGCCGTTAGGGATGAGGGGCATCTTTTTTGGTGGATCCTTGTACTTCTGACTTTGCCTGTTGCTTTGACTACGGCTTGACGTTTGGAATATGGGGGCTTTAGTAGATAGAATAAGCCTTTGTGGCATCGCATTGGACTAGAGGGGATTTGAAGGGACTAGTGACTAGCAGTCCTACTTATTCCGGCCTCAACAAGACCTCGCGATACCCTCCTAAGTGCCCTCTCTTTCCACAGCTACAACGATCGCCAACCAAGATGCTCTCGGGTCGCTTGTGGCTTGTGTAGACTCCGGTTTCGAAACTCTCAAACTAAAACAGGTCAAATCAGAAACGGGTATTGGGGTGAAGTATACTTAAGTTAAATCGGGACTACAAGGGATAGTACTACGGTTTAGGCCCCAGTATCATACAAGATACTGCCTTTTTGCTTATGCATGGAAACGCCAAGACGCCACAGCCATCCAGAGAAGGTGGCCCACAATCGTCCAAGAGAGGTTAAAAGAAATCACAGGAGGCAAATCCGGCGTAAAGATCATCCGCAGCTGCATGGAAACCACGACGACGAGCCTGAGTCTGCTCCAGGCAATAGGCGTACTGTTGGGATAGTAAACCCTAAACCGTTTGATTGTTCAAAATGCCTGAAAGCCTGTTCTGAGCCCTCGACCTCGAGTAGCAAACGGCAAAGCAGTGCCATAGGCCCTAGGCGGAGCCCTCAAAAAGGGTGGCATGAAGCTAGGTAGGACTAAGGATCCCACTCTTAATTATTTGGGATTAATACAGGGGCCTTAATAATTAGAATAGGGTTTTGGGGCCCATTATACGATATTTATAATAAGGAACCCCCAAAATAGTATGGGTAATTATTCAGGTCCCTATATTACCCCACCTATCTTCATCCTACCCTTGGAGCCTTTTGACCTAAGCTGGGGCAAGAAGCAGTAGCGCGGTGTTTATTCCGACGATCTTGCGGCCGATGCTGTAGCGAAGCGCGAGAGCTTCTCTGCGAATCATGCCGCAGCCTGCATTGTTTAGGGTTCGGGTTAATGGTTTGGGTACCGTTTGGGGTTTTAGTGTTTAGGGATCAAGTGGGGGCTTTGTGAAATTGAACTTTTTTCGGGAGCCTTAGCCGATACTGAGGATCCGAATATTTCGAGGCCTGCTTCAGGCTCCGACATTCTCCGACATTCCCATGTACAGTCCTCTGGCCTGAATCCACAAACCACATCCTTAAACCCAAAACCCTAATCTCTAAGCCGTAAATGTGCAGTCTAGCTTGCAGGATTAAGGGTTCCCCGCACCCAGGGTTCGAATATAGAGTTCCCCGAACCCAGAGTTCGAATGTAGAGTTCCCCGGTTGACCTTTATAAACAGACAAGCACGGAAGTGTTCTAGAAAGCCGCGAAGTCGACTTCAAACCAGAAGAGGCCGCGATTATGTCGACATCAACAAGCTTGAGGCTTTTTATGTAACCAGAAAGAGAAAATGCACGTAAACTTCTATGTCAAAATGGTTCCTTTAAGAAAAAGTCTTAAAGCATGGTACGCCAGAGCTCAGTATTTGGGGAATGAAGACGTCCGTCCGGCACAGGAAGGCGAAGCCTTGACGACCACAATACAAATCAACCCTCGCAGTGGAACCCGATGGACTAAATCCAAGAACGGTTACACTACCCAAAGTGTTGCCTTCGGGTTGTGGACTAGGAGTCTTCTGGATGTGCTAACTTATAGTCATACAGGGGCTGTAGAGAAAAAATACTGCTGATAACCTCAACGAACCTCAGCCCTAAAGCCCAGACTGAATTATATAACCCAACATCCGTTAAAACTTCTAAATCTCGACAAGACTCTCTGTAAACAGCTATGGAACCCGGCTTAGGGTGGGGTCTAGGGTTTTGGGGTTTAGGGCTCCGTTTAGCGGGTGTTGGAACGCTAAACTCCAGGAAAAACCTACAACAACCACACTACTCCTTGAAGTGTTTGAAACTCTGAGATAAGCGTCCTAAGATACCAGGGCTGAATCTTAAAAAGGTTCAGGGACAGCTTGCTTGTTGGGTTGGTGAGTTTTCATGGAGCTGGACAAAGGCTTCGATGGAGGCGGGTCAGAGAAGACTCCATAGCTTCCAAAGAAGGGCTCTCGAACTTCGTGTGGGGTTTGACTAAGTTCCAAATGTTTGCTGAAGGCTTTTTCCTGAGACGGGTCTAGGGTCGAAGGCTCAAGGTCCCCCGAAACCCTGAAACCTAAATACTAGCTTAAGGTTTAATAAGGTCCCCTAAACCCTAAACCCTGACTTGAGGTTTAAGGTCCCCTAAACCCTAAACCCTAAACCCTAACTTGAGGTTTAAGGTCCCCTAAACCCTAAAACCTAAACCCTAACTTGAGGTTTAAGGTCCCCTAAACCCTAAACCCTAAACCCTAAGTTAAGGTTTAAGGTCCCCTAAACCCTGACTTAAGGTTTAAGGTCCCCTAACCCTAAACCCTAAACCCTAACTTAAGGTTGAAGATGCAAGGTTGCTGTTCTTGGCACCTGCAGACGCAGACTGGGGTGGACCCAAGATGAACCACTTCAGCGTCCACCTCGCCGGCTTGCACAGCTCGGGGTTCAGGATTGAGGATAAGAGTTCAGCTCGCACACGGCTCTATCTATCTATCTATCTCTCTCTCTCTCTCTCTCTCTCTCTCTCTCTCTCTCTCTCTCTCTCTCTCTCTCTACATATACATATGGATGGTTTACGGTTTAGATTTCCCAAACCTAACTCGATCAAGGAGGGTGACGGGTTTGGCGATCTCGGTCCTTCAACCCTGAACCCTAGACTCTAAGCCTCTAAGCCCTGAACTCTTAGGGTTTAGGGTTCAGGGTCCTAAACCCTAAACCCTAGACATCCAAGCCAAAGCCAGTGGACCTGCTAAACCAGGAAATGATAAGGGTACCCTTTGTCCTACTATTTGGGTTCAATAATAAGGGAGCCCAAACAGAACAAGGGCCAAAGGGTAGCACTGCACCCCTAGTGAAACCGAACCGAATCAATCGACAAAACCCCCGCTTCATGATCCTTCAGGTTGAAGTCTTCTGGGTTCTTGCTATGGAACTCGGCTTGAGTTGCACACAAACCATCTTGTCATCCCTGGCCAAACGCTTAAGCCGCCAGTCTTACAAGTCTGGGTTCAACGTCAGGTAAAAAGCGTTGAACCACCAGCGGTCATCATCGTGAGCTCCGCAAGCGCAGGACTGATACTGGAAGAAGCTTTCGGTGGCAAAAGGAACAGCCCAATCAGGAGCACGCAGCAGCAGTAGCAGCAGCGGCAGCGGCAGCAGCGTGAGTAGGTGAGTAGGTGAGCAGGTGCGTAGGTGAGCAGGCGAGCAGGTGAGTAGCTGAGTCGGTAGGAGTAGTAGGAGTAGCAGGCATAGGCGTAGGCGTGGGCGTAGGAGCAGTAGTAGGAGCATAGGAGTAGGAGTAGGAGCATAGGAGTAGGAGTAGGAGTGGCAGTGGGAGTAGGAGTAGGAGTGAAGTAGGAGTAGGAGTAGTACTACTACTGGTACTATAGTACTAGTACTAGTTCTAGTACTGGAACTAGTACCAGTTCCCCGAGTAGTACTAGTACGAGTACTAGTACGAGTACTATGTTGTTGTTGTGGCTGCTGTTGTAGGAGGAGGAGGAGGAAGAGGAGGAGGAGGAAGAGGAGGGGAGGAGGAGGAGGAAGAGGGGGGGGAGGAGGAGGAGGTGGAGGTGGAGGCAGGAGCAGCAGTATTTCAATGGGAAACGACCTTTGCATCACAACCCTAAACCATGAAGTCGCAAAGACTAGCCGGCGCAGTCTAGACTCAAACTGGGAAGCTCCCATATGAACCTCATCCTTTGTATAGGCTTATACCCTACACTCTAAAAAATCTGATACCCGAACACCTTCAAACCTCCAACGACCCCGGTACCGCGCCTCAAAAATCTCAAGGCCCTCCATAGCGGTGACTTCTGATTCCAGGCCCTGTACCTGCTGTCTGGCCGGAACATCAGAGATTGGGTTGTAGTGTTCGGGCTTACTTAGGGACTAAGGGTTAAAATTATTCGGGGTTAAGCGCTGTTAGGAGTGTTCGGGCCCGGAGTGGTATCCTAAACATCCGTAAATCCTTGTGCAGAAACGCCAAGCCGGTCCGCCTTAGGGCGTAGGGCAAGGGGCTTCAGAGTGTCTTGAAGGATCAGAGGGTGTGGAAAGTAGGTCGTAAATGGCACCATACACCCCTAAACCCTAAACCCCTAAACCCCTAAACCCCTAAACCCTAAACCGCCATACACCCCCACTGCCAACACCCCCAGACCCTGAACCCCCAATCTCCCGAAATCCTAAACCAAAACCACCAAGCGGTAAACACTCCCAAACCCAAACTAAACCCTTATGAAAGCCCCAGATTAACACCCTGTCAGGGCTTATAAGAAGCAGCGAAAAGACCTTCTACACCCCAAAGCATACAACGCATTTAAAGCACAAATTCCTATGCCGCAAAACCGAAACTGTACGCCTGAACTCCAAACCCACAGCCGTAACCCCAAAATTTGGCCACAGGTGCGCTAACCGGCCCGCGATCAGCGCCTCCCGGAGAGTGTTCGGCAGAGTTGGGTTGGGCTTCATGGGGTTTGAAATGGTTCTCATAGGATTCTATCGGGATCTACAAAGTTACAAGAATTTTTTCACACCGATTTTATGATGTCTATTATGGTTGCATAGGGTTTAGGGCTTGTCAGGTGTGTGCGTGTATATATATATATACACATATTTGTAAATGTATATGTATATGTATTTGCATGCGCATATGTATATGTATATGCATACGCATATTCATACTCATATGCATAAGTAAATAGTTACATACATACATACATACTTACTAACATATGTATGCGTGTGCTCTCTCTACATACACATAATCACGAAACTTAAATGGGGTCTTGCAGTCTCTGGGTGTCAGGTTTAGATGGAGCGGACGAAGCTTGCGGTGGGAAGTGCAGAGTCAACTGGAAGCACAGGTCCGGAGTGATCTTGAATTTTGGCTGAGGCTTCATCGTAGAGATCAGAAAACACAGCAACACTATCCCCTTGAAGTCCGTGTATAAGTCCTCTACAGCATATTCCAGAGAGCTGTGCTGCTTATCAAGGTCCATATTATGTTAGGGGTTCGTTCAGACAAGATGCAAGCGAGTTCATCTGGCCATGCTGGTTCTGCAGATTTCGACCGTCACTGTCAGTTGGTTCACTAACATCAGTTCTTCAAACGACCTCAAATAAGCTTCTAAGGGCTTTGACTCCGGCTCTCATCAGTACTAGCCTAAATTGAATCAGCTCTTCAGCGAGCTTTACCTAATGCTCCTGGAATGCGCTGCAACTGCAACGGATGATTAGTTGATTGCTATGGATTGCAAGATGATTGTACCTGCCTGTTTTAACGGTCCTGCGTCAAATCCAAAAACCCCTCAACCCTAAACCCTAAACCCCTAAACCCTAAACCCCTAAACCGTAAACCCCTAAAGCCCTAACCCCTAAACCCCTAAACCCTTAAACCCCTAAACCCCTAAACCCTAAACCCTAAACCCCTAAACCCCTAAACCCTAAACCCCTAAACCCCAAACCCCTAAAGGAAGAACCAAGGAGGTTGGGGATGGCGAGCACTTGTCAACAAAAAACGCTCACCGACAAAAACTGGGAACGCCCCTTCCGCATTTATCAGGGTTTAGGGTTTAGGGTTTAGGGGGTTTAGGATTGGGGGTTTAGGGGTTTCGAAAGTTTGCTACTCAGTTTCACGTGTTTTGACTCAGCTGAACTGATTACAACTGTTTCTTTGGCCTGAGTTCATGCTTCGATTGCTGTCCACTCGTGTTGCACTAACTGCCCTAGGATTGACACTCCAGGTACTTAGAGGCCCAGGGGACTTAGTAAGTAGGTTATAAGTAGGGTTATAAGTACCCTAAATGGAGTTACCGCAATAACCTACTTACTAAGTCCCCTGGGCCTCCAAGTATACTCTACCCCGGGATCTATTCTGGGGTCTACATAGGCCCGGACGTGGGCGAAGGCACAACGAGGACCCTTCACCTGAACACTCGACGTCGAACCATGACCCAAAAACAACACGACAGAATACCTCTACCCAGAGGCCCCAAAGTAGTTCCTTTTTGGGGGTTCGTATATAGAACCCTATAAGGTAATCCCAAAAAGGAACTACGATGGGGCCTCTGGGTACACCCAAACCATAACACTGCAAAGAAACCCAGCCTCAAAAGTCGCTAAGCTCTCACCCATAAACCCTAAGCCCTAAACTTGGAACCTCAACCTCACATCGGGGCCCTAATCATTGCCTATGGTGTGTCGGGGGTTCCTCAGTAGAATGATGGTATAACATACCCCAGAACGCTGTTCTAACTATTAAGGCCCCTATGTTAAGCCCTAAACCCTAAACCCTAAACCCTAAACCCTAAACCCTAAACCCTAAACCCTAAACCCTAAACCCTAAAGCCCTAAACCCTAAATCTGCACCTTAACCTAAGCCCTCAGCCCACCTCGACCCCAAAGGAAGCTGCAAGGAACGCTTGGGAAAGGCTGGGCGAATCGGGATCGAACTCCATCGGAGGATCCCTCTACACGAACACCCCGGACCAAATATAAAACCCCTAGAGCCTAGCCCAGGCCACGCAGGGCATTGAGGCTTTAAGGTTTGCGGTTTAGGCTTAGGGTGGCTTAGGTTTTAGGGCCTTGTTTCCTCACCTCCTTGGCTATCCTGGCCAAGAACCTCTGGCCACACCTTGCTCCGTAACAGCATCCACAACATGGTACTGTAGGGGCCGCAGTTCTCATTTCATTAGGGCTTGCCGGGGGAAACCGGACCCGCAGGCATAGTGTTCGAAATTGTTCCCGCCCATGTTGTACTTGGGCCCTAATTAACTTCCAGATCTATGGCGGTTTAGGGTTTAGGGTTTTAGAGACTCACAAAGGTGCGAAACCGGAGGCGCCGATATTTCGAGCCCAGATCAGCGCTGCGGGGGTCGCTTGAGCTCATAGCCTGAAACTCTACAACACTTCTCAACCCAAAGCCCTATCAACCTTATGCTATGACCGTCTTGCTATCATTACTATTGCTACTATGGTTGCTATTATTGCTATTTGTCACTTTGGCTACCAGGATTAATCTTACTACCAGCGCTGCCATTGTTATTGTGTGACTATGACTACTACGATTACGATTACTACTATTACTGACATGTCTACTGATTACTATTAGCCTTCTTCATCTTGAAAAACGGCCCGAGACTGCGAACCCTGCTGCGGATACGCGAGACCGAAGTCGTGGAATCTCAAACCCAGCGCCAAGCCCCAGAGATGCCTTAGGAGGAGGTGGTCGGGATTCAAAATCCTGAGGGTCCATGCCCCAATATACTAGGTCCGCAAGTGTCCCTTGATAAAGAGGGTACCCACTTCAGCTTTGACAACAAGGGACCACGAATATACAAAAGACAAATGAAGAGTGTTACTGGGGGGAACCTCGTAAATTGCATATACTTTGGACCTCAAAGTGGGTCCTCTATGGTACTTTAGGGCCACAGTTAAAACTTTGCATACTAGACCCTCAGGCCGAATGGATGCCTGCCCAAAACCCTACAGCAAAAGCCATGCGCCATAGCAGCACAACCCGAACAGTCCTTGACCCCGAAGCCTCACTGGCCTAAACAGACACACAACTCTTGTAACTCTCAAACCATCAGCCTGAATGCAATGTAGCGTGCTGTAGTATAGACCCTGCAGCACCAAACCTCGGGCATCACGCTGATGATGATAGTGATAGTGATGAAGGGAACATGATGGAGAGGCTGCTGATGATGATGACAATGACGGTGCTGACACGGATACTCATGATGAGGATACTGATGATGACGACGACAGCGCGCTATCCCTGTGCAGCATAGTTGCATCGGGAGCCTCTGACTTAGAATTGTAGAGGCGGTGCACAGAAAAGCACTGCTGAGCCCTTGGTCAGCAGACGTGCACAACACCGCTTGCGTGTGCACTGCGAAGCCTGCGCACGCCGGTACTTTCCAAACCCAGATCACCACAAGAGTCCATTCGCAAACAAGCCTTCAACCCGCCTCGACTCTTGGAATTGAAATCGGGGCAGGTGGGTGCGCAGTGCTACTACAATTATATTATGTAGGAGCCATTAAGCTACGAGAGCCCCCTACGCTCTCTTCTGAGCAAACCCTGGAAGCTGCCCGAAAAGATACTGCTGGCAGCCTCGTCGCCACCGAAGGGCAAGCGCAAGTTTAAGCCAATTCCTTGGCTTGGGGAGCTCTTTGGCGCGGGAGGGTTTAATCCTATACTATACTATTTTCTTATTATTTTTCATAGTACACGATATTGTATCAGATTAGATTCAACAACCCTGAAGCTAAACCTCTGAACCTAAACCTTAAACCCTAAATTGTGAAACCTCTGAATTCTTCTTCAGCTTCCAACGTGCTCCCCGTGGAAGCTCTCGAAGACTTCTTCCGTGATCGGAGCCTGTCGTGACGGCTTGGCATTTAGAGTTTTGTATGGGTTTAGGGCTTGTCGGGATTTTGGGTCTTAGGATTTAGGGCTTAGGGTTGGAGCTTGGGACTATATACAGATACTCAAATACATCTGTGTATATAATACACATATATATAAGGGCGGTTCTCGGGGAGCCGTTGTTTTCAGAGCTCCGGCACCGCTGCAGCTTCGTGCGAGGTGGCAGAAGGTCCGCTGACTTCGGCACGCGGGCACTCTGGATATATATATATATATATATATATATATATATATATATAGTCGTCGCGGTTTAGGGTTTAGGGCCCAGGGATGGCCTCAATCATCCATCAGATGTTGCAGCAATGCCTCCACTTCGATTTTGCTCAACCAACGGGCGCACAAGGTTCCAAGCTGTTCGGATGTCCAGTAAGTTTACTTCTGAAGACAACTGACCACGACTAAATTTTGAGGGCCAGAGAATCCGAATCATTAGGGTAACACCCTAAACCGTTTGGGGGGGAAGGTTTTGGTATAGCTATTGAAAGGACTCCACTATTTTCATCTGTTCAGACCTCTATACTGACGAGCTAAGGATTGAGGGTTTGAAATCCTCTGGCCGAAACCTCAAGCCGTAAACTTTAGTTTAGGGAGCTATGTGGGGTTTAGGTGTTCGTGGCGGCAGGCGGCAATGAACTGAGAAAATATCTGACATTTGATCACACCTCTCTAGAGGAAGCTATCCATACAAGCCCTAAATACGAGACCCCCGATGAAACTCCAAAAGAAACCGAAAAAATACTGGTCACAATCTTAAACAACACTCCCTTATGACAAAGCCGAAAAACATCGCATCAAACATGTTACACCTTGTAAAACCCGGTGAGAAAACGCCCAAACCCTAAACACAAAACCGCAAATGCTATACCCCAAACCCTGTACCATGAGTCGCGCCTGCACCCCATCAGCGAGCTCTCGCCGAAGCTCTTGGAGTGGCTTGATGAGGGCCATGGTCTGGTGAGTGTTACGGCTTTCAGGCATTTAGGGTCTAGGGTTTACCTTATACCCTTACCTTATACCGTTTAGGAGTTTTTTGGAGATTCTACAGGGTATAGGAGCTCATAAGGTTATTAGACGGTGGTATTCAGGGCTGAAAACTTTGAGCTTTACACAGCAGTCCTGATAAGTAGAACTAGGTGTGGGGCGTTGGGGCCTAGGGTTTAGGATTCAGGGTGGAGTATATTGCAATATACATAGTCTACTACAGAACTCTAAGGAGATATCTAGCCGCGATCTCGAAGATCCAACCCCGAGCATCGAGGTCGAAAAGGGGCGGAGGTAGAAACCGCCCCGTCGGCCCTGACTTTGAGAGCCCCTAAACCCTAAAACCCTAAACCTAACTAGAGCCCTACCCAGAGACTCCAATATCACTTAATTAAGGAATAGTCCTTAAATTATGGTAGGATTCCCCAATATGATTTAAGGTATATATTCCTTTATTAAGGGATATTGGAGTCTCTAGGTAGCGATTCACGGGTTTTGGGCTCTGGGGGCGCTTCCCGGCACTTAGGGTTTTGCTCCAGGCCGCCCTTCGCGCCCGACAAACAGAAGACTATGCCTCGTTTAGGGCTTAGGATTTAGGGCTTAATTCGGGTTTAGGGCTTAGGGTTTAGGGCTTAGGGCTTAGGGTATAGGGCTTAGGGTTTAGGGCTTATGAAACCCCGAAAGCAACCTACATCGATAATCCCTAGACCACCTCCAAAAACCCTTGTAAACGACCCCATGAAAACCAAACCATAAACCTCTGTAAGCCCCAAACTGAAAGCTTCGGGAGCCGAAAATAGAGAACAGCAAATGCATGAAGCCCTAGACCCCAAACCCATGAAACCGAAAGCACTGAGTCCTTAACCGCAAACCCCAAAATCCTAAACCTTAATATGCTTGTAATACCCGTGTACAACCCTTCTAGTGTCCTCATAAACCCCCCTAGATTAACTCTTGATGTACCCCTTGAAAGGAACCCTAAAGACCCAAAGGAAGGGAAGGGTAATTAACCCTAAACCCTAAACCCCTTAAAGGAATCCTAAAGACCCAAAGATTAACCCACAGTACCCCTTGAAAGGACCCCCCTGAACCCTAAACCCTAAACCCAAAAAAGGACCCAAAAGATGCGAAGAAAAGGCCTCCTTCACGCGCTGTTTGGGGCCGGGTGCCGCCAGGCAGGCGAGGAGGGGATGGAGCAGGGACGTCGAGAGTGGCCTTGGTGGAATGGTTTCAGGGTTTCGGGTTTTGGGCCTTTTGGGTTTCTTTTGAACTCCTTTTTACCCTCGCAGATCCAATCTACTAGGGGTTAAGGTTTAGGGTTTAGGGTCCCTTGGGACAGTTGCAAGGTCCAGAGTTTCAGGGTTTGGCGCGGTTTCAGATCTTGAGGACATTACGACTAGGTTCATGGTGTTCGGGAAACTATTTCAACGCTCTGTAGGTATCAAAGGCTATTTAAGTTCTGGATCGTCCAGGGCAATCGTTCTCATGATGAATTTTCGGTCTGTCCCCCACTTACCCCATGCGGCTGTGGACGTACTGCTTTGCTTCCCCCAGCCTCAAACCAGGCTTTATTTGGGTTTAGGGTATGGAACCTAGGACAGGGCATCCTGAACCACGGGGCGGTGAACCAGCTCGGGGCGCGGCAACATAAGTAATTAGTGACCGCATCCACCAGAACCCAAGGGAAGAAGCAAAGCACCATGTCCACAGCTTCCATGGGAAATGGACAAACATGGTGGTGACCATGCCACCCACACCACATCCACAAAAAACGAGAACGAAATCCAAACCGAGTGCGGGGCTTGGAAGCTTTGTCCTGCCGCGCCTCGTCCTTGGATCATTCTCAATGGCTGCCGCTGGGATGTACATTCCAGGGTTGTGGCCAATTGGCTTAAAATCGTTTAGGGATAAGGGCGTTGTCGGGCTTTCAAGCCTCCGATTTGCGTAAGCTTTTGTGGCTGGCCCGAATTACAAGAAGCTCTTGAATAATCCCTTGACTTCGTAGTAGAATGTAACACTGCTCCTACGGAACACCCAGCTTCAA